AGAGGCCTCTGAAGGCCAATTTTCCCTTTTATTATGTTGTGCATGAACTGTAGGCGACTAAGTTTACGGCGTTGTTCTAGTGAACTTACTTTATTGCTAAGCATTAGAAGTGAAGGGGAATGTTCTCTTTTGTGTTTTTTGAAAATGAATCTAACAGCCTTCCTCTGCACACGCTCCGAATTCATGATGTCTTTTTTGGTGTGAGGATCCCATAGAACCGCTGCATATTCAAGTTTTGAGCGCACAATTGCGTTGTATGCCAAAAGCTTTGTATTCGCCGGAGCTTTGCTAAGCTTTCTTTTCAAAAACCACAATTTCCGCAAGGCCGAAGAGCATGTTAGAGATATATGATGTGACCAAGTAAGTTTGTTATTAAACGTGACGCCTAAGTATTTATACTGGTCAACCTTGGTTATTACGGTGTCTTTAAGAACGTAAGAAAATGTGCTAGGTTCTTTTTGTTTCTTGTTACTCGCATCAAAACTGTTTTTTGTACATTTATTTCCATTCCCCAAAGTCTACACCACTCATAAATAGCTGTGACTGATTGCTGCAACCTTTGGTGATCATTCTGCGAGGTAACTTCTTTAAATATGACACAGTCATCCGCAAATAAATTTACATGCACGTCACTAGGAAGTTTTTCCGAGATATCATTTATATAGATCAAGAGTAGGAGTGCTTCCAGTACGCTGCCTTGCGGCACGCCCGAGGTTACATGGCGCGCAACGGACGAGCATTGTTTAATTTCTACGAACTGTTGTTGCCTGTGCCGTAGGTATGCTTGGATCCATGATATAATGTTTGAAAGGAGACCAATGCACTCAAGCTTGTAGATTAATTTTCTGTTCATTAATGAACTGTTGTAACTGTTTTCAATGAAACATCCGGTAAATGAACCATCGATAGTATCAATAGTTATTTTTAAACTATCGATACGATTGATAGTTCATTTATTGATGTTTCTGCATCACTAGCTGCTTTCTTGTCAAAGCCACGCGGATTGGACAGCAGCTCGTTTCAACAAAGGGCATAACGATCTCGCTGCTACAACATGTTCGTTCGAAGTCTTATACATAGTAGCAAGTATGACGCTGAGGCAAGGTGCATGCGCTCGGAGGCAGTGCTCTCACTATGTACCAGTTGAATGACGCACTGCAGAGTGTGCTTCTTGCTGCTACGTAGCTCCTGTGAATATAGTAAGTGTGCAAGGCTTCAGCCAAGTTCCTAGGCAGCCCGACGTTTCACTACCAATTCCATTTTTACCTGGCGGTTGACTAGTTCACGAAAGCGTTTTCCTGTGTTTAAGCACGGCTCCAGTCGTCCTTTTTTCTCGCGTTTAGGTGGCGATAAACGTGTAAAAAAAGACATTGTTACGAATGTTCTGAATGCGCTTGGACATGAGCCAGAGCCTACTTCCCAGATTGCTTTTTGTTTTTAGAATAAAAGCGCCGTTGAAGTTGATTTCATGGTTGGGCTTCGAACTGTATTTTGAAAAGCACTTCGTTGCACTACAAACTTTGACATCATATTTATGCTGACGTATTTTTTGAACACTCTTTCTCTCGGCTATCTAGTTGATAGGAAGCTCAGCACACGACGCCTTATAGACTGCGCCTTGTTGTTCTACTTAGAAGGTCGATGCTTCAGCCGTGGAAGCAAGCGGCTGAGCGTCATCGCAGGCTTTTGAATCACCGTAACACTTCCTTTCCGGAAATCCTCGAGAGCTCTTTGCTGGTTCGCGATTAATATCGAAGGATTATAGGCTGAGCTGGCTTCTTAAAACTTTCTTTGGTTGGTGGAGTAATCAGAGAAGAAACGAGGAGGGTCACGTACTGTATTTAGCATTCTGTCTCTTCTTCTTTGTATTTTCTTTCTCTCTCCTTTTGGCGTGAAAATTGTTTTCTTCATGACAGGACCTCCGAAACCTCGGAAACCTTGGAAGCAGCCGGATGACAGGATGTCAAATGAATATACCTGTCTGTGTGTACTGGCATTTTTTACACCAAGAAGGCCGTGCACTCGTCCGGCTGTGCCACTACAACGCTGCGAAACGAAAACGTCCAACCTCGCTGTCACTCCACCGAGAACTTCCAAAATAGAAACAGTTTCATCTTTCAAATATCTGGGAGTTACATTCACCTCCGATTTAAGCTGGACCCCCCATATAAAAAAAATCAAATCGAAGGCGTGTAAAAAGCTCGGCCTGCTCAAGCGTCACCTTTATTTAGCTAATTCAGAGACACGACTTCACGCGTATAATGCTCTTATCCGCTCTTCACTAGAATACGCGCAAATCACCTGGAATCCACATCAGATGTGTCTGACTAACATGCTTGAATCCGTACAAAACAAGGCCGCGCGCTTCATTCTGTCATCGTACTCAAGATACCAGAGTGTATCTGCCTTGAAGGACGAACTTAATCTGCCCCCTCTCACCCAACGCAGGCAGTTGTCAAGATTAACTTTTTTTCACACCCTGTACCATCATCCAACACCATTCGCTCGCAAATTTATACTCCCGGCACCCTATACGTCCGCACGCGCTGACCACGCTCACAAAGTTGGCCCAATTTTTGCCCGAACAAACAAATATCAGAACTCACCCCTTGTTCTGGCAATCAATGAATGGAATTCTTTACCTAGCAGCCTAGTGGACCAAACAGACACCTCTTCTTTTCAAACCGCACTCCTCGCTTTTCTAGCTATTTAAATACCCTGTAACTTGTCTTCATCATGTTCATCTTTTGTAGGCTGTAAATTTGTGTTCCTGCCTTCCAAATAGCAGATTTTTTGTCACTTTACGCTTTTTTATATGTTTCACGCTGTACTTTGCAATTTTGTACTTTTCCTACCTTTATGATATTGTAATGTCACTTTTGTTGTGTTGATTCTTTCTTTTTACAATATTGTATGTTGTGTCGGCTTTCAACCCATTCCCCCCCTATGTAATGCCCATTTGGGCCCTTAGGGTACCTAAATAAATAAAATAAAATAAATAAAACTATATTGCCTAGTTGACGGACCTTAGATGTTGGAGAACGCTGCGTATTGGTCACTTATTTATGACGCAGAAGCAGTCATCCACGTGCGATATGAACACGCTCACCTTCTCGATAAAGAAGCCTACTGCCGTCAATGCTATGCCCTCCATTGTGAGGTTCGTAGCTGCAACGGGGACCACCACCACTGTCGTGATTCCGCTGGCTTCTCTGTATAAGTTCCCGCTGACGTTTAGGTATATTCGTTTGCGCCCATACTCCTGTTGGTGATGCAGTCAATCGATGCTTAGCCACGTTTTTTCCCCCCAAGAGTTTATCTTTATTCAGAGCTGTAGAGACAAAGGACGCTGCTACCACTATAGGTATAATAATGAGCAGGGAAACGACGTCAAACGGGACGATGCACTAGTCAGTGCTCAGTCAATCTTTCAGTCAATCTTTATTGTACTCCACAAACTCGCTGGGGTTGCGTATGTGGGATGGTGTTTAGCCTACAGATGGCGCTGGTATCTAATAGAAATACTTGTACCGTAGGGTTAATATACAGACTCTAGAGGAAACGTGGGGGCGGAATACCCATCAATAACAAAGTAAGGCGCAGACATCTTGGACCGTTGTCAATGTTGCCATCACAATACCTTAAAAAATCAGTAAATTTTGACGTTTAAAACACTTATGATTTCGAGGTAAAAATCGTAAATAGGCGTGTTCACGTATTACAAACGAACGAAAGCTGCTTCACGTTTATATCAGCTACTTTTGTGAAAGATACAATGGTAATTTATTTAGGTTACTGGTCGCAAAATGGGTGGTTTGCAGGTTTATTTTGTAAATGGCTTCCTCATCCGTGTATTCTTGAGAGTGCACCGTGTTGCAGCATGCGCATGACGGTCGATTGCCCCGGCTTGCTTGCGTGCCGGGTGAGTCGTATATACAGTGCTTCGTTTTCCATGTTTTTCTTACCATGGGCCAAGAACTCAACTCCTTGTGACAATCTCTTCCTGTGATGTAACAGATATCTGCAAAACAGAAAGAATTGCTACAAGGTGTGGCGAGTGCGAGTAAACGTAACTCGAAAGCTGACTATCGTTTCACCGTAGCGGCGCCCAAGTGGTTATATGTTTTAATGCATGGGCCCAATGGGGAGATTTTCCTCTAGAGCATGTATATAAACTAAATGACTTGAACAGGCCATGGAGTAGAGATGATGTAAAATTGACAATAGGACAGGGCGTGACGATGGGCTTTTGGATTGTTGTAAATCCGTAAACTCTTGGTGCAAGTACTACGTTTCGACAGATTTACACAATTCAGCTCTCGCATCAGATAGTGGCAATTTCAGCATGTTGTTCTTATTGCTCGCGAGATGAAGCGAAGGGTCCTAAACTAATGCTGTATATGTAGTCACCCCGTGCGCTGTGAAGCGTGCGAGCCTGAGCAGGGCATGGTCACTCATGGCCCCACGCTTATTTCGTGATCGGGGTGGTTTGTCCGTCTTGCGCTTTCACCGCAAGTGCACGTTGAAGTTAGCGAGAGCCCGAAGGTCTCTTTGTTCACACTTTTTTATTAACGGTGCACGCTGATCACGCAGAAGTAACAATTGTGAGAGTTGTCAGTTGACAGTCGTCTTGTGTATGCTTGTGCCTTCCTTCTGCACATGGTTATTGGTGTTTGCGCACAATGAGTAAGGTGTCGAAATGCGACTATAGTAAGTTAGCGCTTGTCCTACGTATTTTTTTCGGTGAGTCCTTTCTGCTTGAAAGTTACGCTGCGTCTTCAAGCGCTTTCGCTTATCGCGTGACATCACCATTTGCTTCTATAGCATTCATTCCTTTCACCTTATAGCGAAACAATGTGCAATGAACGGTAAACTACGTCTATGAAGACGTGTTTCACTTTCGTGTTACACTGATTCCTATGACAGAAATTTTGTGTATGCATGGCACTTTAGTCACATAAATTCACTACCTTCATTTTCGCTCTTTTATTTTTTCACAGGGCAACTGTCGTGCAGGACTACAGCCTTTTCTACACAGATTTGTGGAGCACGGTGAAAACAAGGATGCATTGATCAGATCAATCTTCTGGTTCATTCAATAAGTAATAATAAACTGGTTGTATTCAACGCTGTCTTCAGAGATTTCTTTTGCAGAAATGCCGAAGTCAGCCTCGGCGTCCCTGGTAGTGAGAAAAAAATCATCACCCCAGGCTGACAGAAAAATTGATAAAGATGCTAATAAAGTGACTGAGTGATTAAAAACTGCGAAGCAAAGTGGCGACCGAACCAGGGCTGTTTGGCTCTGAGTGAGGTTCAAACCCAGGTCGTTTGCGTGGCAATTAGATTTTCTACTGAATCAGATTGGCACGTTCACTCTGCTTGGAAAGGCAGTAAAAGTAGCTTTTATGCTTCTCCGAAACAAGCCTCCTCTATTCATGCTTCATAATGCAACATTAAACATGACAGTAATAATGCGTGTTACAAGCATTCATTGCCAAAGGGCGTAAGAATATGTGATTATCATAATGACCCCACGGTTGAAAGCCGGTACCTTACTACAAAAGGCACACATGCTACCGAACATATTCCCTCATGACGACGTATAGTGGGTGCATAGCAAATTTGAAAAGGTTTCATGCGCTAAATCTTTGAAATACGCACTAGGATTATGATGTCGCTTTTGCGTTGAACTTCTAAAGGGGAAGCTTTAGGACTCCCTAATTTTGAGACTACTCGTTGGAAGAGCAAAAAAACAAACAAACAGAAAAACTCTTAAATCATTTTCTTGCGAACACCCAAGTTTTAAGTAATTTCATAAACTTGCTTTTTCAAGAAGTTCTTAAGAGACGCACATAATGCTAGAAGCAATATATACATCAGAATAAAGCATGATGTAATAACTCTACTGTAAACGTGCTAAAACGATTCCATACGTATTAATGTCGTCTTCACAGGAGTAGTTCTTTGAGAATGCAAAGTTTAAGAAATAGTGTAGCGTCATGATCATCATCAATCTTCTTCTTCCTAGCCGCCGCGCCTTTAATGCATAGCCGTTCTGTTATCATTTGGGGCCTCTGCGCTGAGGCACTCGAACAGGAATATGCAACTCGAATAGATTTGGTTGGTGTATCAACTACTAACAACATTTTATTTTGCTTTCCTAGTCAAAAAATTTTTAGTATCTGGGAGATTACACAAAATATTGCAAAACAATTACAATCATTCCTAATTACTTTACATTAAAAATCATCGAAAAACTATTTTAGCGTTCACTAAATATTATACAAACGTCTAGCATGTAAGATCCGCCTGACTCATGGCCGATCCCCCAGACTGCGTAGGTGTCAATGATCCAAGAAGCACGATCATCATCAGCTCGAGCTGCGCGAGAAGTTAACAAGCACACGCCCCTGTTGAGTTCTTCCCAAATTGGCTTTAGATCTGGATATTCCATATGGCATGCACATGTAGATCTGGAAAGTCGTATTCATATTGCCGGTCACAAAAAGCACTTTGCGGCTTTAGTAACGTTAGACATATGTAAAGCATATGATAGTGTAGAGTATTCTATCTTGACTAATCAGTTATGGAGTCATGGACTTCCACCTTATATAGTAGCATGGGTGACGGAATTTTTAAGTAGAAGAGAATTCTATGGTTATCAAGGCGGTTTCTCTTCCTGTAAGCACAAGCAAACCCGAGGTGTACCTCAGGGGTCAGTACTTTCCCCGGTTTTATTCAACATATTGCTTAGTACCATCCTCGTTCATCCAGAAGTGAAAACCTATGTTTATGCCGATGACATTGCTTTCTTTGCTATGGTACATGACTTCCACTGTCTCTACACTATCTTGCAAACATATCTTAATAAAATAGAACATTGGTTGGATGGATTGATGTTGAACCTCAATACCGGTAAATGTGCTATTCTCGATTTTCCAATCAAAGATCCCGTGCACATATCTATTAATTACAAGCTTCAAGATATCCCACAAGTACAATCATTGAAATATCTTGGAGTTATGTATAATGAGCATCTAAATTCGCGCCCTCACATTGAATACATCGCGACAAAAGCAGTACGCGCGAAGGGGGTATTGCGGAGGTTGAGCAATTGCAGATCAGGTATGAGAAGAAAGGCACTTTTGATTATATATAAAATGTATGTCCGACCTGTGTTGGAGTTTGGCTGCATTCTTTTTTCTGGTGCGCCAGCCTACAAACTTCGGCCGCTCGTTCTGTTGGAAAAAGAGGGTTTACGGCTCTGCTTAGGACTTCCAAAGTATACTGCAAATGCAGTGTTATACCTTGAAGCACGAATACCAACCATATTATGTCGCTTTAACATTCTTACTGTGCAGACCTTTTTACGACTATATGAAGCACCGTTTAACCCTGAACAAATTATTTTTATTTCCAATCCTGACCTATTCTTCTCCGTGCATTGGCCCAGATTTACCAAACCACAAATAGTATTTGTTCAATCGTTACTTGAGCCCCTAAATGTACACGTTCGTGATCTGATTCCTTTAACTGAGCAACAAAATTCTCCAGAAATTGTTTACCATGATATCTTCCCAACTCACGCAAAGCTATTACCTACAGGCATTTTACATGGTTTATTGCAGGACCATTTAAGTACTCTGCCAACAAATGTCATTATAGCAACGGACGCATCTCAATCACATGAAAAATCAGGCGTTGAATTATATTGCCCAGTACTTGATTGGTCATTTTCACTTCGCTTACCGGACTTTCTTCCTGTCTTTCTGGCTGAATTCATGGCAATAATGTTAGCTTTGCGAAAGGTAAATATTTCCATTCCAGTTGTTGCAGTCATAACTGATTCATTATCAGTGTGCTCTTCTCTGTCCGCATCTGGTCACTCACCTATAGTGAAACTTTTTAAATCGTTGATCCCCTGTCATCTCCGAAGTATTCATTTCATCTGGACACCAGGGCACAAAGGTTTGTTGTTAAACGAAATAGCTGATTCTCTTGCGAAGGCATCCCTTTCGACACCAATTATTCCTATTTTCCCTCATACAGTATACATTACGGTGGCGCGATTTCGCACACTTAAAATCAGGCAAAATTTATCTGACCCTGCACTGACGGCTTCTCCAGAGTACAAACACTTGTTATTTCCCTGGCGCAGTGAACTGACTAAATCAAGGATGATGGAAGTTGTCATCACGAAATTTCGTTGCCGGGTTACCTCCCTCAATTTTTACTTGCATAGATCAGGCATATTGAATTCCCCTATGTGCATTTACTGTAATCAAGAGGAAACGATCAGTCATTTTTTATTACATTGTCGCCGTTTCGATTTATTCAGGCAAAGCATACTAGCACCACCTCTTCAAAGACTGGGCTTGCAACTATCACAGCCTCATCTTCTTTCATTTGGAGCCTCTACACTGGGTTTCAGCCACAGGGATGTTTTATTCGCCGTTCAAGAATACATCACTGCGACTAAACAATTTTCTTGCTAAATTGCTGTCTCAAAATTTTTCTTATTTTTTTTTCTGCAAACTTGATATCGGTATTTCAAATCAAAATTAAGTTACAAAAAAAATTGTAGGAATGACACAATGCTGAAAGTTTTAGGGCAAATTCACCTTAAAATCGGCCAATCCCCTTCTTTGGGTACGAGCCATTTCTACAGGGAAACAACAAACAACAACAACAACGCCCCTCGCATGTCGGTCTGTCAGCTGCCGCGGCTCTGCTTCAGACCAGAAATAAAGTGCCGAGAATAGCACGGCCACGTTGGCCGCGTTCTTCGAAGTCTTTTCACGTCTTTACCCTCGTTCGCTACAGTGGTGATCCGAAGGACCCACCCTTCGACGAGCTACCGACTGTCATGCTTCGGCCACTCTGCCCGTCAGTCCCGCCGTTCCAACCGACCTTACTCCAGGCATGGCAGATAAGGCTCGATGCCGTTATCGCTGTAAATGGCGTCGCGGACCAGCCGCTTATGCACAGCATCTTGCTGTACACGCTGCCGGTCAAGTTCCGCCATCTTGCTGCTCCATAAACTACGAGCCCGCAGCCATATGACGCCCTCTGCTTTGCACTGATCGCCTGCTACGGCCTCACGTACCGCCTGCTTCCGGGGTACCGCGACTTTAGGGTGGCCACTGCATCGCAATGCGTGCTAGCAACCGGCACACAACGTTGCATTGACCATGACCTCACCACGTCAGCTTAGACTCCTTCTACCTGAGATCCGGTCACAGGAATTTTGAATCATGCATCCGACTATGACGACAAAGTAGAAGACGCACACACTTCCCCGACCTCGCCACCGATAGCTGCGTTCCGTTGGCACCGACGTACAAAGGTTCATCGCTGGTGCCTGCCACATGCACGAATTCCAAAACATTAATAGCAGCGACACCAAACTACACGACGGCTACCTTGCCACACGCCTCGGTGTCCGGGCCCGACATACTTTCGCCCATTATTCGACAACCGGTCACGGAGTTTCTTCCGTCGACACTCTCCAATGAACGGAACCTTGCATCGGCCTTGACATTCTGAGCGTCTTGCAAGCAGGCATTACCATCTACCTCGACGTCTCCCATAGCTGACGTTCACACCCGTGACATGCTAGGGCTGAACTTCCTGGATGGTGCTACAAAGACCAAGGACCAGTTGGCAGTTTCGTTTATGGCAGAACAGCCCGCACCTCCAATACCAACCACTCTAGTGGAAAACAACATGAGTGTCCCTACAAGAACGGGTACTCCATTAAACGCTTTAGCAGAGTCCACGCTTTCGGGCCTCAAAGCCTTTCCCCGGAGCCTTTCACGCCAGACGGAAACCACCAGACACATCTACGCAACGCAGGCTCGCTGGCGATAACAGCGACGGCACCCGTTCATCCTTAATCGGTATCACCCAAGGCACGGCGTTGACAAATTCAACGCGCTAGGCGTCAGCCCCTTTTGAGCCGTTTTGCTACGTAGCCACGTGTTGCAGACACGGCCTCTGTGACAACCGAAGCATCTACTAAGCCTGCCCAATGCAATGTTCAACCAGTTGCCCTGCACAAGACTTTTCGAAGTGCATGGGGCGCCATTATTCTGGCACAGTATTTCCGCGCCCGTCGACTCGACCATCTG